TTCATTATGCACGTATTTCTGCGCACACCTCATTATAATATGTGCATGGGAATATTTAAATTAGCAATGAATTTCCTGCAGAATAAACCAGTCGGGGTGATTTCGGCGCTAACACCTCCATTTCTCAAAAAAACAAATTAATCGTCTTGACTGCGCCAGTCTAGAAAATCATGTAAAGGCTCTCGTGTTTTGTTGTTTATGTACATCACCTATTAATACCTCACTTATATGCAGTATTCTTCTGATAAGCAATTAGATTACTCCAAACTGTAAGTGTTATCTAACATTAGTCCTGATTGGTTGCAATTACACCAAACTGTAAATGTTATCTAACACTATTCCTGATTGGTTGCAATTACATCAAACTGTAAGTGTTATCTAACACTATTCTTGCGCATAATTGGTTGGTGAACATGTTTCGTATAGTAATACAATTTATGAGCACAAACAGCCAAATATTAAAGCGAGGGAGTATGCGTCAGATGGCCATAGCATGTCATTGTTTACAAACAAGAGTACACCCATGAGCCTTTGCGTTTTTAGCATGTGTCATCGATTGGAACTCAATTCCTGCGTGTGTGTAGGCGACTACCCTCTCGCTTTAAAAGCAACAGGAGACTCCATCAGATTTGGATCCTAATAATTGGTACACTAACTGGGAACATGTGCTGAGATTGACTTAAGCACAATGATATTTTTATATTGAAAAATATTTATTGTAAATACATGCATTTTTGTTTACCATTCATTGAGATCATCATGAACTTGAGCAGTTCAAACGCAAAAAATAAATGATCATTACCATATGCAAATTAAGAATGTATAATGATACTGGAGGAAAAGACGCAGTAAAAAAACTTCCATGGATCAACTATTTATACTGATTAGATTTGTCGGGTTTTGTAGAATAAAAAAAAAGCTGATTTGTAGTAGTTGTCTCTGGTTCATGATATAGCAGTAAAAACTTCCGAGATCAGTCAAATTTACAAAGTTTAAGTGAAACATTCTGAATTCGAGTGTTAAAGATCTTCTCTATTCCACATTTCTGTAGCTCAGTCATTGGTATCATGTGTAAATATTCAGGTCATATTATACAAAACTTATAGCAATGATCTAAGGATTGCAATTTTAATGAATATAACAAGTGACCCAACGGTCAAAATAGTATTCCTTATATCAAAGCAATTGGAAGGAGCGGCTTTCATGAAGTCGTTGATAATATATTTGCTATAAATAGAGAATTTAAAATATCAGACAAAGGTCCACTCAAAGTACCAACACAAGTGTTAAATCAATTGAGCTGGTGGAAATGTAGATAATATTGGGTAATCGTTGTCCAAAGTAACTATTAAAAATAGCTAGCAATGGCTCTTTTTCGATAGCATAGAAGTGAATGTAAGAACACGTACAAAAACTATAAAATGGAATCACTAAACGATTTCACAATAGAACACGCAATAGGTAGCAAGCTTAAAGAATGAGTTAAACAGTTTAATTCCATTAGGTTCTTTAGTTCCAAAGCGGAATATAGTTTCCTCCTCGACAAGCCTGACCTGATTCTCAATGCCAACACATACACCAGAAATTGACATATCTGTAATTTTAAAAACGATTTTCCTGTAATACATTATAATTTTAACGTTCAAAGGATGGTATGGAAATGCTAAAATCTTCACAAGACACTGTAGAATCTGATCTTGAAATTGACACAACTTTTGCCAATGCTTCCCTAGTAATATGAGGAACTACGAGGATAGCCACGACTATTGAAGAAATCACATAAATTACTAGCCTAGCCTAGTTGCAAATACTTGTGAATATGGTATACAATCCTTCATTTTAGTAGGATGTGATGATTCATACTTTAAATAGCAATGTAAATCAGTAGGTTTTGTGTTGATAGATGTAGAAATATGATCACCATCTACCTTAGTAGAAATGTTATTTCATGTGTGTATTGAATAGCTAGATTAAATTTGTTAAACTTGAACGAATAATTCATAACGACTGCTTGACCATCATCAATATATCTGACATAAACATGTATAGCTTGAATCAAAACAACTACCCATCGCAATCGCACTAACACAAATGTAGGAGGATCCAAAACTGCCATTCTATTAAGGAAATGGGTTAAAGTGCGAAATATATGGGTCTCATATAAACAAAGATGGCGACTTTGACTGTTGCGCAGATCAACGAAGGAGTCACCGACAGTAATCAGTGCAAGTTGTGCCCAGGTCAAACCTCATACTTGTGATTTGAAGAGCTCATTGGATTGTGGATAAATCAATGTTTATCAACACAACCGCGACGACTACCACGCTTTAATCCAGAGTAAAACAAAATAACTAGTCAACTAAGCGCATCAGTACTATCACATCTACGCTGCAATTGGTCTCAATATAGCTATTTTTAATAGTTACTTCAGACAATGATTATCATATTTTTTGGTCCGAGCAGCATTTATACTTTGGTGGAAATGTTGACAATTGCCTTTATGAACAGCTATGATAGTGCAGCTAATAAGGTTACATTGGATTGGTTATAAATCTGGAATTGAAATATACTGAAACTTGTACTGTCATTGGCTGTATGCAAAAAGTACACTTCTTTGATTATGCAATTCAACAAGCAGCTGCGCTGTTAGCAATGCACATTTCAATTAAAGAAGTGAAGAAATCTGAGAGGTCTACCAGAGGTACCTACATGTATATGTATCGTACCAAAAATATACACCAAGTATCAAAGCAATAATAATAAGTTGACGTGGACAATCACTCAAGCTCTGCTCGACAAAGTTGACAGCAGAGCTGAAAACCGAATGTATGTTGCATGGGAATTATATCTAGACTTCAAAGATAAGGTAAGGTCAAAGCACAACATTTTGTCTAAAAAGTTTCATATTTTTCATGGAATTCTGTCAATAATCCTACGCTAATTTTATTCAGTGAATGTGTGA